GGCAGGTTTCGATCCTACGACTTCTTATTAATTTAACTTAGTATTTCATAATTATTAAATTACAAATAAGTGTTTTACACGTAAAACTACAGCCGCTTCTTGTTTATTTGATTTTATTTTCCTTCTCTTTTATTTTTGGATTTTTTATTGTTATATATCCCTTTTCTTTTTCTTTATTTCTTTTTCTTTATTTCTTAATTTAAAATATTTCACTATTATATTTTCAAATCTTCTTTTTATCATTCTTTATTTGTATTGTCTTTCTATTTCTTTTATTTCTTTATTTACTTTCTTATTCTTCTTTTTATATTATGTTTAATGATTTGAACTTATCATATTTATGATTTAATCTCATCATCATCATATTTTCTTTTTTATTCTTTAGTAATCTTTAAAATTATTCATTAATTATTCTTATTATTCTTATGTTATTGACATAAAGTTCATCAATTAATTATATAATAATAATTCATAAATAAATAAAAACATAATGAAATGTAATAACCCAAATAATGAACAATGGTTAATAATTATATTTCTCGAAACCAATAAATTATAAAATCGTCAATAATAATTATTCAATCTTGTAATAATTATAATCAAATGAAATTGAATGTCATAAATAAAAGAATATGAGTAAATTATAACTGTGTTGATTATTAATCTCTACATGTTAACCAGAAAATTATATATTTATATTCTAATCAAATAACAAATACATTAATATCAACTCAAAATGGTAGAATCAATAGAATAATGAATAATAAAAACGATGAAAATAAGAAGATAAAATAATAAAAATAATCAATATATTACATAACTATGGTGTTATATTTAAATAATAATTAATTGTTATTTATTCAAATTAATAAAATGTTGATTATAATGTTTAATATTTAATTTTCTATAAAAAATGAAAAATGGCTAATAAAGAAATAAATTAAGAGAATAAAGAATAAATAAAAATAATTTAACATAATAAAACACTTTAAATGATAGAACCAACATAAAATAACAAAGAATAATAATAAACTACAAATACAAAAATTGATAGAAATAAATCAATATTATAATGAAATATAAATTTAATAAAATAACAAATCAACGTGTATAATCAGATTAATGAATATATTCTTAAAATAATAATGAATTGATTTGTGAACTGAAAGTATTATTTATTTAATAAAAAGCAATTACTTAAGTATTAATAGAATTACTTTCTGTTTCTTCTTTATTCTTCTGAGACTAATACCGTCACTAATTCTTCTTCTAGTATCTATACTGTGTATATTTTGTTGTGATATAAGCAATATTTTATGACATTCATCATGCTTTTTATTACAATGGTTTTAACTTCTTTAAAAATGTCAATGTCAATTTTTAATTCTTTTATTAATTTAATGTTTTATTTATTATTCCATTAATTGAAATTACTACTGGAATTATTTTGATGTCTCTTAATTTCTCTAATAATAAAATAAAAAGAACAAACACAAAAATAATTATTTAATTGAAAGAAGATAAAAAATACCTTTAGTATTATTCTGAGACATTACAACTATACCAACGATTGTATGCGTTTGATTCAATTTATTGTTTAATGATTGTAATAAATTTCTAGTTGTTTGCTGGTTGTGAAGAGGATGATGGTTTGAATAAGTTTTTATTATAAATTCCATTTTTATAGTACTTCTTTTATCACCCATTTTTGTTTTGAAGAAATAATATAACTTCGTAGTCATATCTGTAAAAAAACATTCATTAGTTATCAACTGAAATTGGAACATTTTATTCTTTCAGTTTTTTTTCTGAAACTTCAAATAATATGTCTTGTTTTGTTTGTTCTTGGCATCATTGTTTTATTATATTGTTAAAAATAGGTTTTATTTATTCCATATTATCTCAAAACTAACTTTATTCATAAACATAAACATTCTGTGGTGATATTCTTATAAGTTATATTAAAGTACTGAAGTAATAATGAAAATAATATTTCTTGATAAACTTGTAAATTACTAACTTCAATGAATTGAACATTTCTTGAATATCCAAAGTCACTAGTTATTTATTTAAATTAGAAAGACTAGATGATGTGGCTTATCTCCTTTGAACAAAGAACAATAAAAACCAAATCTATTAATACTTAATTAATTACTTAGTATTAAATGACAATAAAAGATTATTTTATTTCTTATCAAAACATTTCCTTCTTATCTTTTTGAATATTTTTTTCATACTTCTTTCATTAAACCACTTCCACTGGCTATGACTTATTTTATGTTATGAATATTTTATCGAGTATTAGTACAAAATAAAACCATTCATTCTTTATATATCTGTTAATCGTTTATTACAATCTTTAAAATGAAGTTAGAAAAATGAGACATATTTATATAAAGAATGTATTAATTAAAACAATTCATAATGAAATGTAATTGTTATTTACAATGGTGTTATACGTTTTTTTTTTCAACAAATTCATAAGTAGGAGAATTACTAATAAAGAAAAAAAATAACTTAAAATAATATTTTTGATAAAAAAGGCACATTGTAAATTGATGAAGAAAAATTAGGAAATAAATGGTATTTTAGAATTGATACTTTCCCACAAAAGAACTTGATACAGGTAATTCATCTGTATTCGTCATTGAATTTATTGTCTATAGTGTATTAGTACAATAAAAAAATATAAAAGAAAAAACAAACATATTCTTTGAAAGTAGAAGGAAAATCATCTTTGAGTTTCATTGGTTTACTTCTTTTAATGTGTTGAGCATTAGAAGTAAAAATATCAGAAGATGATTGGTCACCGTCATCAGAGTCAGTTGGAGATGAAATGGTATTAAAACCTTGATGAGTCTGTTTTTGGTCTATATGGTTTTGTGTTGTAGAATCAGTTATTTGGGTAGAATTATCAAAGTCTTCATCCACTGAAATTTAATATTCATATAAATACATAAAGATGAAAATAAAAGAGAAACAAACCATCAAAGTCCTCATCCATATCAAAGATTCCACTACTTGATTTCGTTTTTGGAACTTTAACTGGGGTGATTGTGATTTTTGGTATTTCATCTTGAACATTTTCTAATTTAGTTTTAATAGCATCAAGTTCATTAGAAATTAACCGCCGTTCAGCTTCATATGCTTCTTCTTGTTCCATTACAAATTCTCTTATTTTTCTTTCTTTTTCTTGAAATAGTTGTTCAACTCGTTTTTGTTTTATAGTAATAAGTTCTTTTTCAATTGGATCTCTAACTGATCCAATGCTTAATGAACCAACATATGAATTTTGACCTGTTGTTGGTCTGCTTTTAATTAGTTGAAGATCAACGTAAATACCAAAAGTATGAGAATACGTTAATTTTTCTCTTAATCTAATAACATCTTTAAGTATTGGGTTTATAATAATTTCTCCATCACATAATAAACAACAATCAGTACCACATGAATTACATCTGACACATGACCATTTACTAATTTGAGTAGTATGAGTAAACGATGTATATTTGATAGTTATTTTACCTGTCCCTGTTATTGGATTAATCCATTTTAATGGAGGTATTTGTATTTGTTTTAGTGTTAATTGAATTGATACATTAGAACATACACAACTAAATGGAAGCATAAAGGGTTAATGTGCTTTTTCTAAATAAAAGTTCCTTTTTTTTTTTCTTTAGTTTTTTTTTATTATAAAAGGTAGTTCTATTTTAATATTTTTTGATGGAATGTGTAAATTTTAAATGAAACGATGGAAATTCATTGTCTTTTTTCTTTTAATTATTTCTTGTTAAATATAACAATAAATAATTTAAAAGAGAAAAAATAAAATTAAATTTTACAAAACATTTTAACGATACTATGACAACACAACATTCTCATAGTCAATTTACTCAAAATCACGAAATGTCACAAGAATCAAATGAATTTAATAAGTTATTGAGAACCATTCAAAATGAGATTCAATCTCCTGTGCTTGAGATTTTTGATAATGTCCGAGTATCACAATTTAAACAAATGATTTTTAATCAACAACAAATTATTGCAAACTTAAAAAACCAAACTGATGTTAGTAGTATTACTTTAATGCAATGTCAAACATTTCAAATTGAAATTAGTAGAATTCAATATTATCTAACGTTATATTCTAAAACTCGATTAAGAAAAATTCATCAAATGGCACGATGTAATTCAAATGATACATCTAAAATGACTTCTGATGAAAATACATTATTTGAAAAATATAAATTATTAAGAAATGAATTCCTTCAAAAATCCCAAATATTTGAACCTAAAGCAGAAGCAAAACCAGATATGTCTACATTTGTATTTGTACGAATATTAACTAATGTAGATAATTTCAAAATTCATCCAGAGTTTGTTTTTTTTTTCTTCTTTCTTCTTCTTCTTTATTATAATAAAATATATAAAATTGAATAAAATACAATGTTTATTATATAATTAATTCATTGATTAGTGATGAGTATGGATTTGAAATGCAAAAAGGAGAAGTTTATTTATTTCCATATTATTCTGTTCATGACTTTATTAATACAAATACTTTTGAATTAATATGAAAAATTAAAGAAATTAAAAAAAAAAATTGATTTATTAATTTATTTAACTTGTTGGTTATTTTCTTTGTTCATAAAGATTAAGAAATCAGAATATAATGTTGGAAGTGAGCATAAATTATCAATTTCATTTTGACTCATTTTTAATGAGTTAATATCTTTAAATGATGTTAAGAAGAATGGTAAATAAGCAAAAGTATCCATTTGAATTTGTTTTTTTCTACGAGTTTCTGGGTCAACATTAATGATGTAATTAATTAATTGTTCAAAAACATCTCCTTGAAGTTTTGGTTGTATAACATCACGTAAAACATCAGCTAAAAAGTCAAGCATTGAATTTGTTTCCATACCTTTTTTAACTCCTTTATTTGCTTCATTTATAAGAATTACCAACCACCGATAAACAACTTTAAGAAATTGATAATATTTATCACCTTTTAATGACTCAAATTCTTGTCTTAAAAATTCTTTTACATCAGTTTTTCCTTTTAAAGCTTTCTCAATAAGTTTGATATGTTTGTTCTCAAAATGTTGATATAATTCACATCCCCCAATAAAGCCAAGTAAATATAATTCATACCCACTCTCCCCATTAATACCTAATTTGTTACAAAATAGTTCTATATTTTCTGAATTAACTAATCCTTCAATAGCAACTTCTTCAAAAGCTTTTCTAATAATGTTTTCATTTCCGTTATTACTTGTAACATCTTCTGTTGATATTTCTTCATTTGGATGAGATACCTTAGAATCATCAAATATTGAAGTATATCCAAAAGGTTCTTCTATTTCAGGACATCCTTGGTCGTAATAACTTGAAACTGCATCATCAAGACTTCTATGTTTTTTTAGGAAATGAACAGCTGTATATTCATTATTACATCCAGAAAATTCCATGAACCTGAGAACAGTATTAGCGTCTATTTTCATTTGTATAATTATTAGTTCATTTTCCTATCATTTTTTCTTCTCTTTCAATTCTTTATTTAATTAAATGACCTTTATTTATTTTTTTTTTTTCTTTTTCTTTTAATTCAAATTAATTTATTTATAAAAGACAAATTTGCTCCTCTTCTTCTTTTGTAATTACAACTTATTTCATATTCAAAATGTTTTTATTATTACTTTTTTAAATTGTTATTTAAGAAATGAATTAATAAAATAAATTTAATAAAATACGTAAATACAAATGAATTAATAATAACCATATATAAAAGGATGTGGGTAATATACATCTTTTGTTTCATTATTTTGTTTCCATTGATTAATTCTTTGTTTCTTATCCATTCTTGTTATATGGTTAATTATTGAAAGATTTTCTTCAGTCAATGTTAAATTTGATTGAGTGACAACATTTGATTTCTTTATATTCTTTTGTTTTTTATGTCCTTCCTTAAAATATGGGTATTGAATAAATGTAGCACATGAATCTGGTGTAATAATATATCCATATGAATAACCGCACTTTACTTCGCACATTGAATTTTGTAGATAACCTTTTATTCTTAAAAATGGGTTTCTTTTCGAACTTTATTGATTTTCTCTTGACCTTTAATCTTTCTTTTCCGTGCTTCTTTTCTTTCCAAATAGAAATAGTTTCCTTTGATTTTTAATCTTAAAAAAAAAGAATACTTCTAAACAGTTTTTTCTTCTTTCAAAATTATGAAATAATTTTTTTGAGATATAAATTTAATATAAATATTATTTAGTTGACGTTACGTTGAAGTAGAGTGATAAGAAGATTTATAAAAAGGGTTTCTTAAAAATTTAAACATGAGAAAATATATGAAACAGCTTAGTATCTATTTTAAAAATAGAGCATCTGAGATAGAAACAAATACACTGGAAATAATTAATCTAAGTAATTGAAATAGAGGAAAAGATTAATGATGTCGCAACCACGTTCTCAGACATATAAAATTTATAAAAAATTAGGACAAGGAGGTTATGGACAAGTCTATCTTGGAAAAGATAGTTCAGGAAGACAAGTAGTTGTAAAAAAGATTGCTATTGATACAGACAATAGAGAAAAGGCAATGAATGAAGTTAAAATAATGAAGAAAGTCAACCATAATAATGTTATTCATTTTATTGATAGTTTTGTTAATAAAAAGAATTTAATAATTGTAATGGAATATGCTCGTGGTGGAGATTTATCTCGTTTTATTAAAAAAAGAATGGGAGATTTAATTTCTGAAGATTTGGTTTGGAATATCTTTCTTCAAATTACGTTTGGTCTTCGTTATCTTCATTCAATTCGTATTCTTCATAGAGATATGAAAACTCAAAATGTATTCTTAATGGCAGATGGTACTGTAAAAATTGGTGATTTTGGAATTGGAAGAATGCTTTCTGAAAAGGAACAAATTGCAAATACTGTTATTGGCACTCCTTATTATCTTTCTCCTGAAATTTGTGAAGGGATTCCGTATGACTATAAGAGTGATATGTGGTCATTAGGTTGTATTCTTTATGAATTATGTACTTTAACTCGTGCTTTCTGTGGAAGTAATGTTGCTGACGTTATAAGAAAAATTTTAAAAGTCAATCCACCTAAAATCCCTGAAATATATTCAAGTACTATTCAAATGATTGTTGATAATCTTCTCTCAAAAACTGCTTCATCAAGGATGTCGGCTGATGACATTTGTAATCTACCAACAGTAAAGATTATTATTAATGATATGTTTGATGTTAAGGGTATGACAACAATCATTTTTGATGAAATGAACCAAAAACAAGAAATGAGTCATGAAGAACCAACAGGAAATACAGACAAGGGTCTTCAAAAAAGTATCAATTCATCGACCCCATCTCCAAAAGAAGACCATTCTGAACTAACAAGGGAAATTTTGAAAGAAGTACCTGATTTTGAATCAAAAAAAGATATTATTGAAGCCTTTGATAGGTTAGGATTTGAAATAAAAAACTATGACTGTACTGGAGATATGAGTATTTTAAATGCAGAAAAAGAAGAAATTATTGCAAAAATACAAAAAGAAAGAGGAGAAGAGTTTTGGGTTATATTTGGTCAATTACTTAATTACAGTGATACTCTCCCAAAATTCTTTAAAGAAAATAAAATTGATACAAACTGTCTTGATTTGATTGTTGATTTGCTACGAATAGAAATGAAAAAAAATAGAATAGAAGCTAAAATTTCAGAAGAAAAATTTAAGAAACAAAAAGAACAAGAAGAAGAATTTGAGAGAATCAAACGTGAGGTTGAAGATGCAGAAAGAAGAGAATTTGAAAGAAGTCAACAAACCCCTCAAAGAGAGTTCAACGAAAATCCTAGATTTACTGATGGATATAGTGAAGAAATAAATCGAAGACTTTAGGCTTCCTCTATTTTTGAATTAATGAATTAAATCTTTTTTTTAAATTACAATAGTTTTAATTCATTTGTTTAATAACATAATTTCCTCCCTTTTGAAATCTTTTATTTATTCATCTTTTTGGTTTTATTCTCAAAATATATAATTTGAAGTATTGACTAATTATTAGTTGCTTTTATGAATTTAATCAATTTAAAGACATAATTCCATCAAGTTAAAAAGTTATCAAAAATTATGAATGTTAATAGCTCTTAAAAATGGCAACGAAAAAAAGCAAATAATGGGAAAAGAAGAGAATGAATGATATAAAAGAATAAAAAGAAACTAAGAAGTAGAAGAAGATATAAAAGAATAAAAGTAGAAAATAGAGAATATAAGAAGAAAGAAGATAAAGAGTAATAAAATAGATGATAAAAGAAGAAAAGAAGAAATAAAAAGTGTATTTTTAATGTAAAAATTAGAAATATTCGTTAAAAAGTGTCTAATTTAATGATGTAAAATGATTAATATTATTTTATTAATGAAAAATATTTTACTCTTTTTTATGTTTATTATTTATATGTGTATAATTTCATCATGATGTTTATTATATATTCAATCATATGTGTTATGTTATTATAACATTTAATAAGTGATAAAATATAAATGAAAATGTTATGAATATATGAAATTGAATATAAAAACAAAAGAATAATAAGAATAAATGATAAATAAAACGAGAAATGATAATCAATGATATAATAATAAAATCAAAATATAAAAGATAAAATTAATATTAATATAAATCAAAAGAGAATAAATATAAAATGAAAATAGATATAAATGATAAGAATATAAAAGATGATAAAGATGAATAAACAAATAAACAAATACATCTAGATAGAAAAGAATATAAACATAAAAATAAGAAAATCTAAATAATATAAACATAAAAATAATAAAATAAGAAGAATATAATAATATATAGATAATAAGAAGATGATAGATAAATAATATAAACAGAGAAATAAATATAAAAATGCGATAGATAAATAACATATAAATAAAAGAA